TCTTATGGCTGGAGAAAAGTAAAACACTGATTCTGTTGAATTCAATGGCAACATTCACAGTGACCCCAGAAAAGCCAGGTTTTCGGCTTAGCCCTCAGGAACTCAGGGGTGTTACCCAGCATATCAGCGCAGACGGCAATCCATGGCCCCTGAAACACCCACACTCTGAACAAACCTTAGTCACTCTTCCCCAGGAACCAGTAGTACGGTAGCTTTCATAAAAGCTGTACTTGTATGTAAATACAAAAAAAGCCCAAAAAAACCCATAGGCATGTAGAATAAATTCACTTTTTTTTATGGAAACAAGAAACAAGTGCTGATGAAAAGTTCAGTGACTGCTGTAGAAGACAAGTGCCATTCGAAGAGGTTTACCAGTAGGTGGTGATATATAATTATTTATTAGCAATTTTCTGACTTCAAAAGTTTCTGGCATGTGTGTGCTGTGCCACATTTTTGTTTAGGCTTTCCTATTTCATGACCTTTCTGAGATATCTTTTACATGTGTTTCACTGATGTAGAAAAGTTTCATAGCTGCAACTGCATCTCCTTGCTGTAGCACATCAGACTGCTCCTGCTCTGTGAACAGCTGGGCTGCCTGTGCACTGCTGAGCTGGGTTTTGTGCAATTTCAGTGTCTTTCATATGTTGATGAAAGTTATTAACCAATTCTCACAAAAAAAGTCAATAGTTTCTTCACAGGGTGTACCTCTTATTAACTTCCAGTGAATAAACAGGTTAGCTGTGTGCAAATTTACTGTTGCTGCCAAACGTAATCAGCAGCCTCTTGTAACTCCATCACACCCTCCTGTGCTCCGGCGGTCCCCAGTTATGAAGCCATGGGTAAACCTGGAAAAAATGTTTCACCTCAGCTTGGCCTATGGGTTATTGTCTGTTTAAATACCACGTGTGGGTCATGACTAATGAAAGCCATACAGCTACAACATAGGAGATGAAACTGGGGTTTGGATGGTTAGTGAATTGTTTCTGAGCAGCTGTATGATGCAAGCCAGAGGCTTCTCTCAGGCTTCACGAATCACCGCAGCAGTGAGCTGGGCCTGTTGGCTTTTTGGGAACGGTATTGGGCCCATGAAGGTCACAAGCACACACACTTCACCGGCTGGAGCAGAGGTGATACGTATGAACACTCCTGGCTGCCTCTGCCCACAGCCAGTGGGCAAATCTAAGTGAAAAATGTCTTGGTGCCCTTTTGGAAAGTGGTGCCACGTAACCATGCATCAGCCTTGACACAAGTCCTGGCCCTGAAAACACAAGCAGAGCCGTGTCTCTGCTGACCAAGCAGCCGGTGTGGGCAGCCAGGCTGAGGTGGAAGTGGGTGCTAAACAGATGGTACAAATGTCAGCACGCTGCTTTGTCTGCATCCACGTTCTCCTGAGTTGCTCCTTTTGGACTGGTTCTAGCTCAGCATGCACTAAGCCTTGACCAAAAGGTCAAATGACAGTTTGCATTTTCTACCATCCAATGCACTGCTGAGTTTCTCCACTGCTCTTAAGGGATGAACACCCATATGCAAATCTTCAATGGCAAAGGCTTATACATTCAATGATACGTGGTGTTTTATTCCTACTGGTGTCATTGGCCTGAGGTGAGTCTTGAGCTCAAGTCATGTCAGTTCTTTGCACTAATATTGTTCTTGCCATTTATGCCAGGCATCTGCTCCAGAAAGCTGAGGCAAAATGAATCAGTATATTTTTTCTGACTGCATCCATAACTCCTGTGGGTTGCTGTTTTGTGCTGGGGTAAGAAAGCCAACCCCATACACTGCACAATGTGCTGCAGAAGATGTAATATCTTTCAATCAGCAGGACAACACGGTGCCTTCAAGCCCTGCTGTACAGATTGGTGACAACTGCCAGCTTTGGCATGGGAAATGGGACCCAGTGTCCAGCCAGATGTCGTGTTTCTCTCTGTCAGAAACTGAAAATGCCAAAATAACATATCCGGAATGTCAAGGCACCCAGCTGGTACTGCTGAAAGGGCAGCCTAACGCCCACTGATATAAATGAAAGGAGATTCACACTTCTCATCTGCTGAATTTGCGGGAGTATTGGCTGGAGACAATGCTCCTGCTTACATTTATTGCAAGGACATGTGTCACAGGCTGCAGCACACCAGAGTACTGGCTGGCTTTGGGGCTGTATGTTGGCTTATTGAAGAAACTAGGTGGGAGATGATCTAGAACTAGGAGGCACCTTGAACTACGCAACATAATTATTTATCAAGGATGCTGCCACATAAGGGTTTTTTAAATGGAAAAGAGGGGGCACATTTGATTTTCCTGAGAGAAGGAACAATTATTTAAGGTAGGCTGCCCAGCAGCTCCTGTTCTCTGCCTACATCTGTGTCGTGGTTTAACCTTGGCTAGCAATTAAGTACCACGCAGCTGCTCGCAAACCTTCCCCCTCTTCCAGTGGAGGAGGAGAATCAGAGGAAAAGGCAAGGAGGCTGGTGGACAGAGATAAGAACTATTTAGTAATTGAATATAAATGAATAACATAGTGATACTAATAATACTAGCAATACTAATACTAATAAGTAATTAAAATAATGGGAAATAAAACAAATTATACAATTGCTCACCACCCGCCAACTGATACACAGCCAGACCCCAAGTAGTGAGAGTTAGACCAAAGAGCCGGAGCCTGAGAGCGATTGCAGCAGAGTCCAAGTGAGCCCCATGAGCAAGAGAGGAAGCCAACCAACCCACCAGCTACCTACCTAACTACCTAACAATAAATGCGCTAGGCCCGTGGCCCACTCCTGGCTTATATATACTGTGTATGGCATGCTATGGACTGAAATACCCCGTCGGTCAGTTTGGGTCAGCTGTCTGAACTATATGTCCCCCACACTGCCTGTAGTGAGAGAGTTGGGACCGCAGCTGCAGTATCAGAATCTGAGAGAGACATTGAATTGGTGCAAACACTCCCCAGCACCAACTAAAAATCACCAGTGTTATCAGCACTCTTCTCAGGGCAAATAAAAAATACAGCCTCATACCAGCTACTGCAAAGAAAATTAACTCTGACCTAACTAAAATCAGCACAATCTGGTTACACTTTTAGTACCATATGTATGTACAAATCCAGAAGAGAAAGAAGGTGGGCAGCTTTAGAGAAGTTACTCCTGTTGTGGCAGCAGGATGCCATTTATAAATGATGTTATCATCACACCGCAGGACAATTACCCAATGCATGTGAGGAAATGGCAAGTGTGACTGTCCGCTCTACCCTGTGCAACACGTGACAGTGTGAGGTGAGGAGCCACAGGTATCTGTTACCGGTTAAACGTTATTCCTGTGTGTTAGACACAAAACTGACAGAAGCTCCCAACTTTCTTGCTTAGTGTTGTTTAGACATAAAAAGGCTGAGACCTACATATACAATAAGAATTAGACACAACCATAATAAAATGATCCTACTTGTTTAGGATGAGGAAGGGATAGGATGTAGTCAAAGAAGATGCCCAGAACTGAAATTTCCTGTAACAGAAACAAGCAGAAAATGGAAAAGCATGGATTTTGTAAAGTAATCTGTTATAACAGGCTGAATTCAGCTGATGAAAAAGCATTTTTTCTAGGAAAATAAAAAAAGGTCTGTGATTAAATGGAAATGAGTGAGGGACTGGATCTTGAGCAGACATGCAAAAGGAGTTGATTTTTAGAGTAAATGAGGGTAAACCTCAGTGCTGTAAAAAGTTTAATTTCTGCAGTATGGCAACTTTAAAATTGCTTCAAATGTAATGGAACGTGCACAGACTTACCCTGTGCCTCACTGCCTTCCTTAGTTTAAAGACAGGGCAATATTCCCATCTGCCTGGCTTGCAGCTCGATGCCTGCAGTGCAGTGTTTGATTTGGACAGAAAAAGGTCCAAATCTTTACTGTTTTGTCACACAGCTGTAGGGACACCAACAAAAAATGGTACAAAAGTAAGTCTGAAAAAGAGACTAAACACACCTGTTTCTCTCTTAGAAACATACTAGGCCCTGAATGCCTAATGGGACATCACTATATGCTACCTGAGCTGCCTCCTCGATGGCTCAATGTCAGGTGCTAGGAGCAAGCCAAAGTTTGAATCATAGAATCACAGGGTGGTTTGGGTTGGAAGGGACCTTAAAGACCATCCAGTTCCAACCCCCCTGCATGGGCAGGGACACCTTGCACTAGACCAGGTTGCTCAGAGCCTCATCCAGCCTGGCCTTGAACACTTCCAGGGATGGGGCATCCACAGCTTCTCTGGGCAACCTGTTCCAGTGCCTCACTACTAGTGAAACTTTGTACTCTCACTAGTCAGCAACAGAATGGGAAAAAGGTTTAATGGGAAAATAAAAGGTGATCCAAGGATGATGGAAAAAAACCCGAAACCGGTATGGTTGTCTAATCCTGCTTTCTTCTCTCTCACGCTGTATTATAGAGAGTCCATTTTTTCCTTCCTACCAGACAAACGTTGTTAGAGGAAGTCCATCCCCAGAGTTCTCCCTTTTCCCACAGCCGAGCCACCACCATTCCCTCTGGCAGTGGCACGCCAGAGCCAGGACAGCCCATGCGAAGGAGAAGGGAGGGGGTGAGCAGGCTGGCAGCTGAAGGACGACATGAACCGCAGCCACCGTTTAGCCCTGTCTGAGTCCTCTGGACACTTGTCAGCAGCCACTTCATATATTGCTAAACTTGAACTATAAACTGCAATTGGTAAATCTGCAGGACAGATCAAAACACACCTGACAGACCTTCAGATTATCAGCTATTACAGCCGTTTGATGACTTTGGAACTGCTACTGATATGTGACATCAGCTCAAGGCCATGGCTGCAACTGTCTGCATCAACCCAGCAGCGAAGCATCTCGGCAGAAAGATGTCAGAGCAGAGACAAAACAGGCTCTCTCCAGAAATGGTTAATCAATAGCTTGCTCAGTTGACTGAATGCCATTACACACAGTCGTGCCCCTACTGTATATAAATCGTGACTGTCTTCTGCATCATTGTCAGTCACCTCTCCTGCCGTACTGGTAGACACCAGTTTTCCACTTGGAAGTTTTTGGACATTAACAGAAATGTTCATAGCATCATGGATCTGGGGAACAGTGATGTTACTCTGTTGTGGGTTTTGGTTTCTCCTAGGGAGGCGGAGGAGGTAAGGAATCTATTTGTAAATGCATCTCTCTGTAAACAGCCTTTCCTTCTGTCAAAGATACCGTGCACCTAACTAGAAGAAGTGTATCTTGAGATTATCAGATGGACAGATGCAGGATACACGGGCAGCACCGTAGCTTGGTCTTGGAAGAGATTTATTTTACAGCAGAATTTTTTGTGTGCGGGCTTTTTAATAACAGTGGGGTAGCGCTTAGACATAGTTCTAGATACAAATCTATGCACACATGAGGTAATTAAAATATGAATATGCATGTTCTGATTTCCTAAAGTACCGGGCTATTGTTTTACCTGCTTTGTAATCACAGATAATACCTACTTATACCTAATTGTAGTTTAATACCTACTTACAAACATCTTTATGTTGTCTATCATATATACACAGTTTAATACAGATAATACTTATGTACCTCACTATGTCAAATACATATTCCTTAAAAGCATTTATCCTACTGGCACATTTACATAAGGAGCAAGTAATTTGCTTACCTCTTGCAATTTTCTATTTTTCAGTGATCATTTTCTTGTTTTACTTTAAAAAGTTTAATAAAAAAGGTGAAAATAGGTACCTTCAGATAATAACCACCAGGAATTTACTCAAAAAGTTAAAGTATTATCTGAAAGTTATTTTAGCAGCTCTGGTGTCCTTATGCAGGAAAGTAGTTTTCTGGCTGAGAATAAAAAAAAACACTTAAGCATATGCTTAACTTAAAACATGCACTTAATGACACTTTGCCTCAAAGACAAACTATTATGATTACTGAAGATCATGGCAAAATTCCCACTATTTTCAGCAGTTTTTTTTTGGTCCAAATGGGATATGCCAATTTTAACCACCTTTCTGTACTCAAAATGCTATTCCCCATGGTATTCAAACTGAATTGTGAATACCATTGTCCAAAAATGTATCAGACAATGTTAGTGCGATAGATTATTCAAAAACTGTGTTTTATTATGTTTATTATAACATAGGCTGTTGAAGTTATTCTTTCTTGTATGCCATAGACTTCACAATAGACTTACTCCTTGAATGGGAGAAAATTATTTGTCAACATACCATTTGTTTGGGGTTGGGGTTTTTTTTGTACATCTTTTTCACATTACAAAAACTTAGCATCATCATTTTACTTATCTGGTAGTCTTGGAGGAGACAGCTTTATACACACTCCTTAACTCAGCTTTTGCTTGTGTTTTGTAGGCGAGAAGGCGAGCCACCACTTGAAAATGGGTTCCTCCCATACCTGGGCTGTGCCCTGCAGTTTGGTGCCAACCCTCTTGAGTTCCTCAGAGAAAAGCAGAAGAAGCATGGCCACATTTTCACTTGCCGAGTAGCAGGGAAATACATTCATTTCCTCACTGACCCTTTCTCATACCATGCATTGATACGCCAGGGAAAACACTTGGACTGGAAAAAGTTCCATTTTGCTACTTCTGCCAAGGTACCACTTGAAAAAATGGCTTTAATATCTAAAATGCAAAGTATATGCTGGCAGGACAGACACACCTGGTTAGTTCCTATAGCGTAACTATGCCTTTAAAATGTATTTGGGTTCACATTTCTGCACTTCTATTGGTTTAAAACATTGGGGTCTTTTTTTCCCTTTTCTTAAGGGAAAGGAAATTTGCAGTGGTTTGGATTGTCCAAGAATGACATCATTTAGTCATGTGGAATCCCAGATTGCTAAAGTAAAATACAATTAGCACCATCTGCAAAACGATAATACAGCTTGCTGAAGCTGAAACCTTCTTCAGGAGGTGCTCACCACTATTTGGTCCTAAGGCCTTAAAAAATGCTGCAACGCAGCAGGATGTCAGTCAAACTCTTATTGGAGTAAGCACGAAGTCTCCCTTTGATCTCAGTGGGAGTTGAAGGATGGTCTAGGTCACCACATCCATTTATTCGTAAGCATCTATTTGAATCTATTTTCATTTGCCTACCAAAACTGCTGCGGTTTCCTGAGGAAGTATCAGTTCTGGTATTAATAGGCCTTATTATGTTCCCCTCTAGTGAGCTATGAAGTAGTTATAATTTAGCTTTAACTTCTGTTAGACTTTATCACCACGTCTATGGCAGGCCTTATTTATCATGTATACAATTTATTTTGTGACAGGCTTTTGGGCATGGCAGCATTGACCCAGCAGAGGGAAAAACCAATGAAAACTTCCATCAGACTTTCATTAGAACCCTTCAAGGTAATGCCCTAGATGCCCTCGTTGAAGCAATGATGGAAAACCTACAGTACGTCATGGTGCAGTCAAGAACATCCAAACTTCAGTCTAACGCCTGGGTGACAGAAGGACTTTATACGTTCTGTTGCCAGGTGATGTTTGAGGCTGGCTTTTTAACACTTTTTGGTAAAGAATTTAATTCAAATCACGACAAAAGTCTACCCTCAAAGCAGGAAACTGAGAGAGCTCATATCCTAAATGCCCTTGAAAACTTCAAGGAATTTGATAGGATCTTTCCAGCCCTCGTGGCGGGGCTGCCTATCCACCTCTTCAAGAGTGCCCACAGCGCACGTGAGAAGCTGGGAGAGGCACTCCTCCACAAGAACCTCCAGAAAAGGGACAACCTCTCTGAGCTAGTCACCCTCCGCATGTTCCTGAATGACACTCTGTCAACCTTCGACGACATGGAAAAAGCGAAGACCCACGTGGCGGTGCTCTGGGCCTCGCAAGCCAACACCATTCCTGCCACGTTTTGGAGCTTGTTCTATCTTCTTAAGTAAGTCCCAATGCTTCTTGTTTCCAAAGAAGAAAAACGTTTGCTATCTTTCAGAAAACAGCTCATTAATACAGGCAAATTCCGCTGCTTTATACCTCACCAGTGTCAAAAAGCTTACTGATTCAAACAGAAATGGCACGTTGTTCTGGACTTACACAGAAGCGCCCTTCACTCATCTGAGACCAAGTAGTGGTACCATAGAGCAATTCTGTAGAAGTTTTTATGAGGAAAACCCCCAAACAACCCCAAAGAAACTCCAGGGCAATGCTACACTTTGTCAAGAAAGCTTTGGAGTAAATCTATATGACATGGTATTAAAAGTGCTGGTTGCAGTCAGAACCAGAGAATGGTTTGTGTTGGAAGGGACCTTAAAGACCGTCTAGTTCCAAATCCCCTGCCATGGGCAGGGACACCTTCCACTAGACCAGGTTGCTCAAAGCCTCATAAGTGACCATTTTTAGGCCTTCTCACTAGAGCAGGTAAAACGAGCTTTAACTTCATTATAGTTTTCACAGATACTCAACAGAGAACATTTTATACCTTGATAGACCCTGCTGAGGCTGTAGGGTAGACTGCAGTTGGTGAGCTTGTTATTCATGAGAAGAGTGCATAGTTAAGATATTACTCTTAAATGTTCATTTTAGCGTGGCCCTTTGTGGAGTATAATCTACCTCAGCATGACTAACTCTGAAGTCTGTATCTACATTGCTGATGTTTTTATTTAGCTGGTGGCTTGCACTCCCACATCTACCTGACAGTGCTAATATCTGAGGTTCTTTAGTACTTTTCATTCCAAGGATGCTTTGGCTTTAGTTGTTCTGGCCTTGGAATCTTTTTAACTCCCTGATTGATTGTGCTTTCATCAAGACACTCTTGCATCCTGTATTATTATCTATACGTGTTTCATCATAGCTCATATATTCTATGTCTGTAAGAAAGTCTAGACAGTGAAGGATACTATGTGGACTTTTAGTATTAGGAAGATTCTTTTTGGCTAGACAGATTGTTGCCATATAATAGGACGTCATCCAGGATAAGTGATGTTATAAAACTGATCAATGATCCCATTCCTAAACTTTCTACCTGAGTAGGGCTATTTCCTAATCTACAACTGTTTGGTTTATTTCTCATTCTTGGCAATGTTTTTAGTGACATTACTGTTCATTACCTGAGGAATACATATCAGTTCTGTCCCACTTGTCATTGGAGACAGAATCAAATACTTGGGGTTCTTTTCCCTTTTTTTTTTAAGCTATGATACCTTTGCCAAGACATGAAAAAGTGTGGTTCCAGGATTTTGCTTCAACATTTTCATTTTAGAAGGTTGCACTTGTCAGCTAACAAACTATATTTTAGTCAGTAAGAAAGTTAATGGTAAACCCCCTTTTTAAAATCATTCTTATGTGTAGCATTATGTTATAATTCTACTCTTTTGACCATAGGAGTCCAGAAGCAATGAGAGCTGCTACCAAAGAAGTGCAGAGTGTTTTGGAAAGTGCTGGAGAGAAGATCAGCTTAGATGGCAAACGTATTTCCTTGAAGCGAAAACAGCTGGATAATATGCCAGTTCTAGGTATTATTATTTTATGCAAGAGTGTCACAAATCACCTCACAGTTTTCAGATTCTTCTATTTGTTACTGTATAAACATTTGTTATGAAATTACTATAGAATTAGCCAACAAACACTACAGCAAAACCCTGTATGTTCCTTAGCAATAGCCAATACAATCAGTCTTCCCAATGTCCCTGGTGGTACCGGGAGTATCAAAATTCACATGAATAGCACTTTTTCGTGGGTAATGGCATGTCTCAGTACTGCTACACAGCTACATAACATCGTATTGGAGACCCATGGGTAATTGAGAATAATATTTTGTTTAGTAATGACTTTGGATCAAATAAAAGAGTGTTGCCAAATTTTATATCCCAATTCTTAAGATCTGAAGCAATATCTTTTAATATCATTACTTTTATTTCTTCTTAATATTTTTCAAATTGTAGGCACATTTTTCAAAATTGTCCAAGTTACAGAGAGTTTTGAAAATGTCACTCTTTAACTACTATTGCATTTAAAAACACCAGCTTATATTAAAACAAAACCCCCTCCAAGTTACATCTTCTAAGTAGTGCTTTCTATGCACAACCTCTTAAAGTTTCAGAAAATCCTGATCACTGCACTGTCTGGGTTTTTCTTTTTGTTATGTTTCCAGTTTTGACGGCTTTGTTCTTTATCTCAGAGTGAAAATGTGTCTCACTTTCCAATATCCTGCTGCATCAGCTAAAAGCATTTTTCCAGGGGAAAGAAGATTACGTTCTCAGTGTTAACTGCAGAAGGGATAATAATGCTATAAAGAAATGAGAAAAATAATTTCTTAGACATTTGGAAAGCTATTATTAATATATTTCTTCTAATAAATGCAAGGGTTTGATAATGGGTTTGAAACAGTCCAAAATGCATGACCTCCCCAAGGACATACACATACTATTTCCATGGTAATCATTCCTTTTCCGTTCCCTATAGACAGCATCATCAAGGAGGCAATGAGGCTGTCGAGCGCATCCATGACTTTCCGAGTTGCCAAGGAGGATTTCACTTTGCACTTAGAGAACGATTTTTACAACATTCGCAGTGATGATATCGTAGCTCTTTATCCTCAGCTGCTGCATCTTGATCCCGAAATCTATGCTGATCCCTTGGTAAGTATTATCAGAGGGCATCAAACTCTGAGCTCTAGCAGAAGCCAACATGCCTTTTAAGAGGGCATTTATCAGGGGTGATCCCGTGGCTGGTTTCCTGTTGTACTCTAGACAGTCTGGTCTTACAACTGGAAACATAATGAAAGGCAAGAGAAAGAATAAAGTTAAGGACAAGAACTACCCGCAAAGGATGTTTTAGTGTAACCAAAAAGTGTGCTGCCAGCCCAAGAGAGCCTTCGACTTACAGCCTTCCTCAGTGAGGAAAGGTCACCATTATGGGGGAGTTCGAGGAAGCACAAGGATAAGGATAATATTTTCCCGAAGGCACAGAATGACAAATCTTGTTCTGCTGCACAAGCAAAGATGCAGGTTATAATCCTTATTTTAAGAGGTCAGAAAAGGAGGGTTATCAGCAAAGAACCTGGGATCATGTCCCAAGTACTACAACTTCTCAGGGACTACCCACTCCAAACCAGCATCATGGGGCCTGGTGCTACTATCCGATGCTCACTGCTTGAGGCTCTTCCTTCCCAGCCTCAGTTTGGTGTCTTAACAGCATCACATAGACATCAGAGTTATTCAAATGCCAAGTAACAGTTCTGTGGCTTTTTTACAGACATTCAAATACGATCGCTTTCTCAATGAGAATGGAGAAGAAAAGACTGACTTCTACCGCAACGGTCGCAAGCTGAAGTATTACTATATGCCATTTGGGACGGGCATAGCAAAATGTCCTGGCAGGTTATTTGCTGTCCATGAAATTAAACAATTTTTGACTTTGATATTTTCATATTTTGAGATAGAGCTGGTAGACAATAATGTGCAATGTCCTTCTTTAGATCAGTCCCGGGCAGGACTGGGTGTTTTGCAACCAGTCAATGACATTGATTTCAGGTATAGGCTGAAATGTCTATAAATACATATTTAATATTACACATGTAAACTATGTACTATATGAATACACTATGTAACATATACATTATGCATAAATGCATAATGCAGACCATTACAGTACCAGCATGCCGTGGGTTTAATGCACTGTGTTGATAGAAATGTTCCCCCTTTTACTGACCATTCTGAAATGCAAGTTAAGATCCTGAAATGTGCATCTACATTAGTTCTTTTTTTATTTTTTTCTGTCAGCAAATACTTTCCCAGAGTTTGTTAGAATTTCATCAACTGATTCACAGTAATTTTCAGAATTCAACAACAGTTTTTAGAATTGAAATGTTGGAATTCTATGTTACCTGCAGGGAGAAATTGAAAATTCTCCCTGCAGGTGACATAAAAATTTTCTTGTATGAAGGCAGATTCACGGTGGGAAAGGGAGAGTTTCCTGGGGAAGTACCTTTATGGTTTTATGAAAAACTAGAAAAAAACTTGAAGAAAAATCTACAAAAATGTTCACGTTCTAGTGAAACTGCAAAACTTGTATTATATTCATTGTAATATACTTCTTTTCAGCAAGTTGTAACTGTATTACAATAAATGATATTGGCTGAACCAAATTAATCTCTAGACTGTTTGTCATTTTAATATCTTAACATTCCCAAAGATTTATGTCAAAGGCACCCTAGTCAGCTTTAAATTAGCCACCTCACACGCCAATATGGATATAAATAAATAGCCAAGATATACTCACCAGTGGTTCTGGCTGGATTTTGTACCATTCTCTGAACTCTGCATTTCCATAAGCCTCGTTCCTCCTTAAGCCTTCCTAGTCTAATTCCATTAAAGTTATCATGGGTAGTACGCCTACACATTGCACTTTTAGTGGTGGCATGTCTGGAAGAACAATTGTTCCAGGGATAATACAATTTGATTCCCTGTAACGTCCCTGTCCTTTTCTGCTGAAAATGATGGATGGATAGATGTTACAAAAGTCCGTTTTTAAATGAAACATCTCCAGGCTGAAAGAGATAGCTTTCTTATCGTCTGCCAATGAAAAGAACAAATGAGCTTAAAATACTGTTGTTCTCCTGCTTTTGTTTCTAAGGACTTATGGTCTGACTGTTTGTCCTTGACTCTAAGCCTCATCACAGAAGATGAGATACAGGGCTATTAGATATTTTCAAATTTCACATTCTGGCAAGACACCCAGTCTAGCTGACAGAGCTCTTCCTAAACACGCAGCTTTGGATTGAGTCCTAGAACTGCTTTAAATTATGTACCCATTTCACTTCTCACTATCCACTGTGCCAAACATTCAAAGGTAAATAAAAAGATTCTGCAGCGTGTGATTATTTACTACCTGCATGCCGTCTTTGTAACTTTATTTAATCTTTTTTTCATTTTCAAAGAAGGACGGAGAACGACAATTCATTGCCATCTGCAATATGTATAACACTAAACCTACGTATAATGCAAGTGGGTTTAAATTACTGCCTTGGTTTTCTTAGTAAGGCAAGTGTCCAGTCTTCAGGTACAGCTTGTTTTCATACTTCTGCCAATTATATTTTTGTACGATTTATATAAATTGCAGCACATTCAGTGTAAGTTAGCACTAACTCAGAGAACACATGAAAGCCTGGCATTATTATAATTACGTGTACCCTGCCACATATTATTACCATCAGAATATCTACTCCCCCTTTCTTACACAAATCCTGCTTAAAACAAGCTTTTTAGGGTAGCAATGGTTCAAGCAAAACACCTTTCCTCGATGAAAAAGAATTCAATATGGAATTACAACAGCAGATAACAAAAGATAAGATGACGACTGCTAAACTAATTCTAGGTTCCCTGGAAAATTAAGTCTGCTTTTACACCCTCTTGTCTCCTTCAAACTGACTGCTCCAGACTGCTCTGATTGTGGTTTAATGTTTTCTTTCAGCTCCCTTGGTCTGTGAGAAACTGAAGTGTTCAGTAGCTCCTACAGCTGATCTGACTCTCAGTTACCCAAGAAACACTGCGAGCAGAGAACTGAGGGAAAGGTAAAAACACCACAGGATTCACCCCACGGATGATGAACAACTTTGCCTTAAAAATTATTTACTCTAATATGCAAAGTGCCAAGTTCCTTTTTCAAAGAAATCTTAATAAATCCAACTCCAATGGAAATGAGAGACACTCCTGCTAGAGCAGATATTACTAAGGAATGGCCAGAACTCCCAAATGTTCATTCAACACTACTATCTTGTAACCATAACACAGATCTGTGTACTTTTAAATATCCAGCTTTAGCACACCTCACATTGCTCTCCTGGAGAGCTAATTCAAATTCCCAGCAGAGGCAGCAAGGCCTTTCACAGGCTAACAAACCACAGCAGAGACAGGCCCCAAGGTCTGTATCCATCCCACCCAAGTCCAATGCCTTAACTGCGGAGTCCCTGTAAGCTGGCAGAAGCCAGCACTGCTGCCAGACCATGCACAGGGTCACGCAGGGGTGGCTTGGGTGCTCCCGCCGAAACTCCTCCGGGAGCGTGGCCCTCGCCACTCAGCCTCCTGTCACTCCTCTGATGTTGGGCTCGCAATTCTCCATTGACGGCTGGACCCCTAACCTGTGGATAGATGGCCGGTGTATAAACCAACAGAGGTGACCAACTCCTTTTGCCCAGTTCTGAACTCATATAACTTAGAGAATCACAGAATCACTAAGGTTGGAAAAGATCTATAAGATCATCCAGTCCAACCATCAACTCAACACTACCACACCCACTAGACCATGACGTCAAGCACCATGTCTACACACTCCTTGAACACCCCCAGGGATGGTGACTCCACCACTTTCCTGGGTAGCCTGTTCCAGTGCCTGACCAAGGAAGAGCATACCAGGCTGCTTTCAGGAGACTCTGCAAAGTGATGTCACTTTTTATCATTGAACTAGTGTTACACAGCTGAAAAAGATCCAGTATAACCTCCTGAACAGGCTTCCACTTTGTGACAAAACACATACTGATGAAGTTTTGAACAGGGATTTCTTTTTTTCAGTACTGGGCTATATACAAGTATTTTGGTGTGCTGCCATGGCTGCTAATTTTCTAACCTCAGTTAAACCCCTGTCACCAGGGTCACACAGATGCAAGTGAGGAGAGAAAAAAGTACAAAGTCTGCGACTGCTATGCCCCAGATAGAGTAATCAAATACTTCAGGAATCGACAGTCATCTGCCTTGCCAGGGTCACGGACGTCACGAGGTTATAACAGGGCAATTCTCTTTGCCTCCTCTCCCGAGAGTAGCACTTTTCTTAAGACAGGAGACCAAAAAAAAGTAAGACTAAAGATCATAAGAGAACTAGAAAATTGTTGGGCAGATCCAGGCTGGTGGGAAGAAGGCAGCATACTCCGTGGGTTGTGTGAGTATTGCACATTGCATACCAGGTAAAATGCATAAAGAGTGATGGGCAGAAGGGGGTCAACCTTCTAACCATAGGGTTAGAACCCTAACCATTAGGTTAGCTCACACATTCACTCTTTTTCTCAGGAAATCTGTACTCTGTTTTCTCTGAAAAACTGAACAGAATCAACAGGACAATTTGCATGACTCCCTGAGGGTATCCTTACAGCTAAAGTGCTCCCTTGGCTGAGGAAAGATTCAATTTGACATGGGATTGAAGTCCCTGAGGTAGAGGAGGGACTGAATCCAGCTCCGAGGACAATTCTAACCTTGTGTTTATCCTGTGAAGGGTGAGTAAGAGCGAGGGGCACCTCCTGAGGGATGCACAAGCACATTCTAGATTAGGCACACCAAGGAGTTTTAAGTGCACAGACTTTTGTGGACCCAGGTGAGCTCTGCATGGGGCTACCAGGTGCCTCTGCACCACCCTCTTGGGACACTGTATCAGAAAACAGCTTTACATTTCCGAAACGGTGCTGGCCATAGCTATTGTTCACCAGCTGGGATTCATCCACAGAGAAACTATCCCAGATAAGTTTTAGCTGGATGTTAAGGGTTATGTAAAACTACCCTGAGAAGTCATCTGCCTCCAGCAAGCTGAGCCAGCTCCTTCCCAGTAATGTGAGCACAAAGCAGCAGCAGTCACACTTGGAGGCAGCAGTGGCAGCCTTTGGACCAGGGGGATCCAGAGGAGAGGGGGGTCTCAGTGTTTGGGACCTGGCCCTTGTGAGCTGAAGCACACCGGTAATTTTCTCAAAGTTAAGCTTCAGGCTGGAACTGCTGGACAGGAAACTAAAACCACCCTAGCCACATTTCAAAAGGCAGAAGCTGCCACTGCCTTGTGTGGGGACTTGATTTGTGAGGCTTGCTTTGAGGAGCTCCTCAGTGGCAGAGGGAGAGGACCTCCTGGTCTATGGATCCTGATGGGCTGAGGGTCAGAGCTGCATGCAAAGTGCTGCTCTTCTCAGTCAAAACTACAGCGAGTCGGGGCTCAAACAGAAGCAGAACTGTAGGTAACAGAGCTGCCACTAAGTTCAGGCAGCCACTCTAACTTATCAACAGTGGATTTGGTGAACAAAGACTTTTTGAACAAAGATTTTCAAACCCTGCCTAAAGTATGTAAATTGTTTTTGTGTTTTACTGTAGAAGTATGAAGATAAACTGGTGTTTATACTACAAGACTTTTCATGCAAGTTTCTGAAGAAAAACAGAGGAAGCAAAAAGATAAAAAGGCATGGGATTTTTTTTCTGAAAGCATGAAATAAATTTCAGTGATACATATAGCTCGGTTGTCAGTAAGGTGCTTCAAAATATACTGCTCATGGGCTTGGTGTAAATGGATAGCTGTAGCAGCACAAATTGGTATTTTCCAGGTATGAACTGCACAGAGCGCTACAGTTGCATGTCAGCAGCCTGAGGACAGGGCCAAGATCTGGTCTCATTTAGACCATATACAGTCAACATAGTTAAATAGCACACAGAGGAGGCTTGATCGTAATTATTCCTACTGCCTGTCCCTCTTTAGGGAGCTGCATACAGGAGGTTTGGTGGTAAAAGCAGTCGTTGCCTGATAATAACCTTAGAATTAAACAACAAAAAGGTTACATACTATTAAATGGACTGCTGTCAGTGTAAATACCCAC